CTTCCCCGGGGAGACTGTTCCCAGCCCAACAGATCTCATGGCTTCTTCCTCTTCAGCGCGGAGCTTCCCTCTGCTAGTTCCCTCCACCCCCTCGAGCCCTCCCGTGTGTCACACTCAGCCACCCCCCTTGGGGCTAACCCCCGTCTCTGTCTGTCCCAGGACTCTCCCGCCAGCTCCCTGATCTCGCTGGGACGGGGCCACATGATGGGGCAGTGCAGGTCAGGGTCTGGGACGCGGACGGCACGGTGCTGGGGTATTATTTTCTGTGGCTGGACAAAGAACAATCACAAGTGCAGACTCGGCCCACGGCCACCAGAGGGTGAGACCCAGGCACCGGATCTCCCTCTGCTCTGCCCAGAGGCCCTGACCAGACACTGACCTGGACCAGCAGGGGCTTTATCACGGTGTCCACTCGGCCCTGGGCCGGCACCACAGCCAGCTCGTTGCCGCACAGCTCCTCAGTGCGCAGAGCCTCGGTGCTGACGGTGAAGTTCACCTCCCCTGCCAAGCAAGGTGGGAGACACCCCGTTAGACAGACCAACGCCCCTGCCCGAGGCCGAGAGGAGTCCGTGTCCGAGGGTGGGAGGATACTTGAAGGGGAAGGGTGGTAAAGAAGGGAGAGAATAGTACAAAAAGAAAGAAAATTAGGAGAGAGAGAATGGGGGAGAAAAGAGAGAGAAGGCCAGAGGGGAAGGAAAGGACGGAGGGAAGTGGTGATTGTGGGAAATGGCGATTAGGCCATAAGGGATTTCACTGCTGGGGCGTCCTCTCAGCCCCCTCCCCCGCAGCTCTTCTCATCCCCTCCGCTTGGAACCAAGCCCTCAGCGACCCCGTCCTGCGCCCTCCTTCTCACTCCCAGCACAGAGCCTCCAATGCCCCTTACCCGTCTGTCCCCTCACGCAGAGCCTCCAAAGGCCCCTACCTGCCTCCCTAGTGTGAAGGCTCCAGCACCCCTTCTCTGCCCCCCCCCATTGTGCTGAGCCCCCCACCACTTCCCTGACCGTCCCGTCCGGCACAGAGCCCCCAGCGCCCCTTACCCAGGCTGCTCGCCGTCACCTCCCACTGGAAGGTTTTCCCTTCGTCTGCACAGAGGCAGCTGGTGTAGGCGCCGTCGTCGCTCGCCTGCACCTGGAACTGTGCAGACTCCGCCAGCGTCAGCTGCACCTGTGGGGCCCAACACGAGATCCCCCTTAGGGCTGTGAGGGACGCACCAGCTCCAGCCAAGACGTTACCTCTCTGGGGTTTAGGCCAGGCCCCACTCACCGCGATGTGCTGACCCCAGTGGTCATAGGGTCACAGCCAGTGACTGCCGGTGCCACTCGCAGGCCTGCGCCGCTGCCCAGCTCCCCAGCCCCAGGTCACCGGCCCCAGCAGCTCAGCCCCGGGCGGCGCTCACCTTGATGCACTGCCGCAGGTAGTTGAAGACGGTGGCCTTTAGGGCAAAGGCCTCTCCCCGGATCACGGAGTACGGCAAGGCCAGCTCCACAAAGAATGGTTTGAAGGCCATGAAGGTGGCCGTGGGTGAGAGCCCAAAGCCCACCTCGGCTGTGCAGAACATCCCAGCTTTCCACTCCGTGATGGTGTCGGGCACTGAGACAGGGACATCCTTGGATCCCCCCTCGCTGGGCCGGAATAGACACAAAGCAATTTTAGACAAACATGTATCTCAGGTTTTCTCTGTCTGTCATCCCACCTCAACCTCTGGATGGCAGCTGTATATTACACAGTAGTATAGAATCCTAGGGAATGTCCCTTGTGGACAATGGC